CAACCTGCTCTTTCTCATTAAGGACCATCTCAGTGTGGCAGAAAGGGCTCATGTATGGGTTAATCTGCCCATGAGAGTCTACATCTAAACTCTTCAGCATTACTGTCTGCCTTTTTAAGCATTTGCAGCAAAAATTCTGCACTGTTTTTGAGTCACTGACCCTGCGTCCAGCCCCACTGTTTGGCCTGGCCGCAGCTACCAACTCCACCATTGTAACGACGGAACAGCATGCATTGCTTCTGTAACGTGACGTCCTTTAGATACTTGGTGGCTTTTCAGATATTCATACCCTTGATGGATGGCCTGGGCAGTTTCATGAGTGTTCTTAAAGTGAACACGAAGATTTGAACCTCACGATTTGCATGATTTTGTGGGGCTCTCTGGGTCAAATGAATAGTGAATCATTTTCAGGGGTCACCTCAGGCCGCTTACAGGAATAACATTCCCACTGTTTTTTAAAATAAGAAACTTTCTGTCATATTGAGAAACTAAAATGTTTATATTTATTTTTCCTATACAATAGTAATGTTAATATAGTTAGCCCCAGTGTAGCTATAAGTATGGGCAAAAGATATGTTCATGTTTCTTTTATTTAAAAAAAATATAATCACGTTGAAGACAATTTGGCAAGTAAAGAAGAAAAATATATCACCAATAGTACCATTAACTCAGTATAAATCCTGTTAGTATGTTGATATAGCATACTAACTTTTTCTCTGCATTTTCTTTGCATAACTACTTCTAATCTTACTTGTTATTAGCAGTATATGATTATGTCACTTGTTATTGCACAATAGAAGGCATATTTTTAAAAAAACTTTTTAAGATGCCCTTAAAATTTAAAACGATGCTAAAATATTTTCAAAGATATGGGATGATAAATTTCTTGGCTCCCTGCTTTTTTGTGGGGGAGGGGGAGAAACAAACCTTCTATGAGCCTCTGATTCTGTACATGTCAATCTTTGATTTCATAAGCATGGTAATTAATTGAACCAAAACTTATTTCCAAATTAGAGTTTAAAAATGAGCTCTGTGAATTTCTCCTATGGGAAGATATTTTTACATGTATCAGAATTTTTTATGTTTTGGTTACTACTGCTTTTTTTAGAGTATGAAAGTACAGTATAGGGAGAAAAGAAAACAGCAAAAGGAAGTTAGGTGGAGTGGGAAGCACTGCCTGAAATGCACTTCTGTATACATTTTCACCAAACACTCCACAGATGTGACTCCTAGCTCTGCTCCGTACTTGCAGTGGTCTGTTTGTATATTCATCCTGAGCAAAGAACTCCAGAACAAAACAGTGTTTTACTCCATTCTGCAGCCTCAACATCTAGCCAAATTTCTAGCACATAATAAGCATTTAATGAACACTCAATGACTGCAAGAAGAGAGGAAAATACACACATACAGTCAGCACGAACAAAGACAGAACTACATTAGAATGTTTTTTGGCTATAAGTTATCAACTACAAGTGGCTTAAACAATAAGGACATTTTTTTATTTCACATGACACAAAAATTCAGATCAGGGCATCTCCAAGGTTGGTTACGCAACTGAACAGTGTCATGGAGGCCCCAGATGTTTTTCATTTTTGTACTCAGTCATCCTCAGCATATTAGTGATTTCTTATAGTTGCAAGATGGATGTAGGAGTCCAGATGTCACTTGCAGACATGACCATGTCCAGCAAAGAAGAGTCAGTGTTTGCTCCTGTGTGTCTCTGTTTATGTTAGAGGAAAACCTCTCACAGATGCTTTCAGCTGACTTCTATTCAGGCCCCATTGGCCAGGATTGGTTCACAAGTCCATGCCCTGGCTGACAAAGGCTACAGGCGAGACACCAAGAGTCACTGGCACAGAAATGCGAGAGGAAGCAATAGTAGGGAAGAGGAGAAAGATATGCCATAGGAGAAAGAGTAGCAATAAAGGCAGGCTAACTACAGAGGTAGCTAATAGTGGAATATGGTATAGTGTGCATTATTTATGCCTATTCTTACCCGTATGTACTACACGGTCTTATACCTAACATATGTATGAAGGTAGTAGAACAGTGTAATTTTATTTTTATTTATTTTAAAAAATATTTTATTGGGGAATTGGGGGAGGGGAACAGACAAGTTGCTGTCCTTTGGTTCTTCAGTCTAGTTGTGGAGGACTTCGCTTCACTGGCCCATGTTGGTATTGTGATCATTGCTCTCTTCCCAGCTGAGGCAGCCAGTCGCTGGCTATTGGACTGCTCACAGCAGCTCACAGCGGCTCACAGCGGCTCATGGCAGCTCTTGGCAGCCCACTGCAGCTCTTGACAGCCTGCGCCATCACCAGCCACTCACAGCAGCCCAGCTGCAGGTCGAGCTGTTGTTCACAATCTTAGCTGAGAGGTCACAACATCACTGGCTGATGTGGGATCTGAACTGGCAGCCCTGCTGTTCAGAGCTGGTGGTCCCAAGCCAAACGCTTAACCAACTGAGCCACTTGCCTGGCTGGAACAATGTGATTTTAAATAACAATGGGTGCCACCCAGGAGCAGATGCTGACTTTTTTAGGACAATGTAAATTTGGAGATATAAACCACTATGCTCTACACTGAAATTAACATAAAATAATATTGAGTGTCAACTGTAATTGCAATATTAAAAAAGGGGGTGTAAAGGTGAAGGGGAATAAGAGGTTCAAATTTCCAGTTATAAAATCAATAAGTCATGGGATGTAATGTATAGCATGGGGAATATAGTCAATAATATTGTGATAGCATGGTACCGTGTCAGATGGTTGCTGGGCTTATCATGGTGATCACTTCTTTAGGAATATAAATGTTGAATCATTATGGTGTATACCTGAAACTAATACAATATTGCATATTAACTATATTTTAATAAAAATCTTTTTAAAAAATTGGAGATGGAACGTATATGAAATTGCAAGTACAAAGTTGCTAGGCCCAATCCAAGTCCTTGGAAGCTTCATTACCTTCATGGCGAATCTTCCTCCAGTGTCATCCTCAGCCTTCCCTGCATTTAACATCAGAACTCTAGAGAGAACTGAAAACAGCTTAGAATGGGATTGGCAAACAAGTTAGAAGAGCAGAGTTTGCTTTATTATTAATATTACAGAGTTCAGGGAAAAGAGGATATGGCACTCTGTTATTCAAGGAAAGGATAAAATGAGTGGGGATTACAGAGATAATAGATTTTTTTTTAAAAGAACCTTAGGTTTTTATTAATAGTACTTTTAAACAGTTGTAGTTTACTGTATATTCTTTACTCTCATAAAAGTGATATACATAGATGAACTAACCTTATACTCTCTTGAAACAAAATGTTTAGTCCATTGTATATGTTTTAGGTGCCCTTAAATATACGTAGAAAGTTGATATTACCATACGACACCTGTATACTTTGGACTGGATTGAATAACATGTTAATTAACATAAAATATGAAAATTATATCTAGAAGTTCCATATAATATCACACTTTATGTTTCTTTCCATTTCCCTTGGATGGATGGGGGAAGGAGAGAAACAGTGATCACCTGTTTTACCTGCTGTCTTGTTGGTCTTCAGGCAGTTCAAGTAGAATCACAGAGATGCTTCTGAGGAAAGTGTTGGTATTCAAGTCTGTTGCTGCTGTTGTCTTTTTAAAAATAACTTTTCCACTTATCTGCCTCTAGTTCTTGAGATTACATATTAATTTACCATTGTATTTCATATTTCACACCACATTTTAAAGATTGAAACTATTTGCTAATCAATGTAGATTTCATTTGTAGAAGCCTGTCATCTGCACCAGAGTTGAAAGCATCTGGCACATAGTACCCTTCCATTAATACTTGCTAATGAAAGAAAGACTGAATTGTTTATGTAATATTGGGACTTCTAAGATAATTATAATAATTTAAGGAAAACAAATACTGGATGTTAATGTGTGTTTTCTAACATTATTTCCTTTTAGAAAATATGATATTACCAATCTTTTGAAAAATTAAACACCATATTTTCTTTAAAGACTTTAAGTGATATGCTGAAGAGCTAGCTTGGCTATTAAGACTTAAATGGTCAGGGCACTACAAATCTGGGAAAATGAGGACAGAATTTGAAAGGAAGAGATTATAGAAATGGTCATAGGTGACTTAGTAAGAGAAGCCATGAATACAATAAAAGCAGAATCTGTGACTATGTATTGTGTGTTATGCTTCTCAAAAGACATTTTTTACATATATATTACATGGGTCTGCCTGCTTATCTCTCATTATCTATAATTAAAATATGTTATTTTTATAGCTGTTATTCTTAGGCACGCAAGTAAATCATGCATTTTCAAAAGATGTTTATTTCTGATATGTAAAATGCTTAGGATAAATTTAGTCTTTTATCTCAACATTAACATTTATATAAAGTATGCTATTCAGTTGTAGATCTTGTTTTTGAAAGTGTTTTTATATGTATAATAAAAATGCACCTTTTTATTTTGCATAAAGTTTTTAAAAATCTTTCAAAAGTACTATAAGATGAAAGGAATTTAAAAATCGACATTATTGACACAAGATTCATATTAATGTTTACTCATGTAAATAGCACAAAATACTGCCTAATTAGTGTGGTTGGTAAATTTTTGGTGCTTTAATTTTCTCTGTTATTGTAAACCATGCATAAAATGCTTGCCCATTGAAAAGTGCAGAATTGTCAGAGCTTTAAACAGCTGACATCTGCTTACTCTCTTAAAAAAAAAAAAAGAAAAGAAAAAGAAAGAAAAACAAGCCATTTCAGCCTAATCTACCTCAAATGTGTTCATGTAAATGGAGGCCCATCTATTGACCTGTATTCTTTTCAGCTCAGGATTGGTCCACATGGTTTACGAAACCAGGAAGGCTGATTTGAAATGCAGATGTCGAGACAGTGAAGCACACCCTCCCCTTTTTTCTTTGCTGTATCTGTCAGGTTGAAAAATGGCTTGCACAAGGGTCAGTCACCCATACTCACTTAATTACTTTTCTTGGGCCCACAGAACTGTCACAAGCTGTGGTGGACGCGGGAGCGGTTCCTCTTTTAGTACTCTGTGTTCAGGAGCCAGAAATTGCTTTGAAAAAGATTGCTGCTTCGGCTCTCAGCGATATTTCAAAGCACTCTCCAGAGCTGGCGCAGACAGTGGTGGATGCGGGAGCGATTGCTCACTTAGCCCAGATGATCCTGAACCCTGATGCTAAATTGAAGGTATTTAAAAATAATAAAAAAACAAACCAGTCTTCTGTTAATCTAAGAAAATGGAAATGTGTATAGATTAATATTATACATTTAAAATAATTTGTAAATTATCACTGAAAACAGATGTGACTATATTGCATATTTGGTCTTCTAATATGTGAAAATCGTGCTGTAAACATTAGACAATAAACACATGACTGGGAAGGAATGTGCAAGGCTTAAAATTAGAAGTAGCATCAGTATTAACATTAATCACTAAAATAAGAAATCACATAATGATTGAATTTCAGGGTGGGAAGAGACCTAAAGGTTTTCTAGCTCACCACTATTTAAATTTCCTAAGAAAATTGTCATATTTATATTACTCTTCTTTATAGCTTTCTAAAATCTGATTTTCATTTAATAGTCACCAATTATACTTTTATATTCTAATGGTTATATCCTATAAGGTTTTTAAATTGTTAGTATTAACTAAGCAATGGAAAGTTCTTTGAAATGTTATCAGCATCGTACCAAAAATAAGATGTTAGTTCTGCTTGATCTTTTTCTACTACCTTACCACATGTATTGTAAATAACAATTTAAGTGTTCCATAATTAAGAACTAGTATTCATCCAAAGATCATATTCTTAGATCATCTGCGATAGAGATTAAAATACCCCATAGAAAACTAAGACACTTAATTTGGAAATGAGGGAATTTGAGAAATTGAGTATTTAGATATAAGACTAGGATGTGAATGTCTTGACACTCAGAAATCTTAGGTTATGTTAGATATGCAATTGTTTTTTTTTCCTTATTATAGAGGAATTTGACTATGTATAAAGCTGCTTAAAATGTATCTGAACTCTGCAGTGGACTCTACATAATGTTTTGTTTTATTTTGATTTTTGCTTAACAGCGTCAGGTCCTTTCAGCTCTCAGTCAGATTGCAAAACAATCTGTGGATCTGGCAGAAATAGTGGTTGAAGTAGAGATTTTCCCAATTGTACTTACCTGTCTGAAGGACAAAGATGAATATGTAAAGAAAAATGCTTGTACTTTAATTAGAGAGATTGCAAAACACACACCTGAGGTTAAAAAAAAAGAAAAAAAGCTTTAAATACCATAACATGAGTTAGTTTTCGTGTTGAAGTCAAACATCAATTTGTACATAGGTCCCAAGTGCCGTGCCACATGATCTGGTTAGGTCAGTGTTTCTCATCCTGAGCACTGTGGACATTTTTTACTAGATAACTGTTGTGGGGGTTTGTCCTGTATATTGTAGGATGGATATTTTGTAGCATCCTTTCCTTGGCCTCTGCCCATAGATGCCAGTAGCACCCCTTGCCACGTCAAGACAATCAAAAGTGTCTCCATATATTGCCAAATATTTTCCAAGGGACAAAAGTGCCTCCACTCACCTCATTGAGAACCACTGGGTTATATCACTGAA